ACTTGTAAAAATGATGATTTATTTGTATCTGTTTTGTCGTATCTGTATGATTCCATTATTTGAACAAACAAATGTGTACAAATGTGAGGATCAAGAAGAGGTTCTTATTTAGTTATAATAATATACAAAATATGTCGATAATTTACGAAAAGTGTTGGAACGTTTTGTTTTGCTCTCTCGGTGGTTCAGCCGGAAGGGTATGGAAGGGAGATGCCTGCTGTTGCCTTTGATTTGATATCTAGATGTGAATAATGGTTGTGTTGAGTTTTGTTATAGTTTTAAATGTTCTCTGGGGATGAAAGGTAAAGTTAAGTTATGGGAGAAGAGAATTTTGCCATGGGATATTACATTAAACTTCATTTAAATAATGAATGACCTTACAGCCATGGAGAGCACATGTCCAGGTATGATACTTTTTCTTTGTCAGAATAAACAAGGCTGTATTCATTATACACACACACACACACACATATATACATGTGTGTGTGTGTGTGTTTGAAAATCTATGTTGAATAGTCATTCGAAAGTAATACCCACTTTCGAAAGTAATACCCAATTGTAATGTGACTGTTTTATCAACTTAAATATCATCTTTGCCATCTGTCATTTATTTATTATCTGAATATATTTTGCTACCAAATGAATGTATATACTCTTTGTATTATCCCATCTTTGAGCAGATAAATATCTTGGAATGCAATAAACACAAGTGAGCTATCAGATGTTAGGAGTGTGGTCTAACACAAGATCTCACAGAAACTATTATTTCTATTATGTGCTGATTCGTATATCCTCCATGAGGTCTAGGTAAGGATGTAAGGAAGGCAATGGTTAGGTTGTACTTGAATGGCAGCACACCACTAGAAACCTTCGATGAAATATAAATAACTAGTGAGAATGATGCCCCATCGTATGACGTTGTTAAACATTGGCATCGCCGGTTCAGGTGTGGTGGGAGATCTATGGAAACGGCTCCGATCCCAGGGCGACCCCAGTCTGCCATTGATGACACTATCCATCAAGTGGAGTCTGCCATTTTGGAAGATCGCCGTCTTACTATTCATCAGCCATCCCAAGGTGTCAAGAGTAGTATTGGGTCTGTGGAAGAGATCATTCATGACTATCTGCATATGCAAAAGCGGTCTGCTCGATGGGTTCCCAGGCTCCTCGCACCTTTCCAGAAGCAGGAACGAGTTCATTTTTCCAAGGCCTTTTTGTCATATGCCAAGAAGACCAGGAGGATTTTTTTAACAGACTAATAACGTAGGAAGAAACTTGGATCCATTACTAGGATCCAGAAACAAAGTCCCAGTCAAAACAACAGAAGCAATTTGACTCACCATCCCCCCAGAAGGCACGTGTCGGCATGCAAGGTCGTGCTCACAGATTTTTGGGACCAGCAAGGAATAGTGATAATGGATTTCCTGGCAAAATGTACTACAATTACAGGAGATTACTACACTTCACTGCTACAGAAATTGCTAGAGGCTATCAAAAGCAAGAGGCGTGGAATGTTGAGCAAAAGTGTACACCTCCTACAAGACAGTACCCCTGTTCACAACTTTCACATTGCCCTGATGGAAATGCGGTCCTGTGGCCACGACATCCTTTCTTATCCTCCATATTCTCCTGACCTTCTTTCCGTCAATGAAGTCATTTTAGAAGGCCAAACGTTTCCAGTATGCGATGAGACACTGATTTCTAAAGTAGCTTCATGGCTTCAAACGCAACCTGCAGACTTCTACAAGCGGCGCAAATCGATGGGAGAAGTGCGTTACTCTTGGACCTATGAAGAGGAAGACTAATAACTGTACGATGCTTCATTCCTTTTCGCCCGTGGGAAGTGGGTCGGAGGAAACCTAATGAGAACCCCTGGTGTATGTATATTTTAAATGTCTGTGTGTGTGTATACACACACACACACACACACACACACACATATATATATATATATATATATATATATATATATATATATATATATATATATATATATGTATATATGTATATATATATACATACATACAATATGTGTGTGTTTGTAACCATGTACTTAGAAGTAAACACCCATTTATATTATACACAGAAGCACAATATGCACAATATGTACATATATAAACCGTAAAAAAAAACAAAAAAAATAACAAATACAAAATCCAGGAAGCAATAGTGCACACAGACCTTCTCATCGTGCATAGATGTTGCAAACATTCTGAACATACTGCTGTTCCCGTTCTGTACTGTAGCTTTGCACGCACAACTTCAATATACAAGATAACAAAATTGTACCGCTTGCTGGCTTCTTGCAACTTGCATTCTCAACGAACCACGAAGTGTGTTATGTCACGTGTTCATGTCCTTCGCTCTTTCTCTCATTGCTGTTACTGTTATTGTAATTGTTTTTGTTGTTATATTACTATTATCTCTCTCCCTTTCCCTCCCTCTCTCCCCCTCTCTCTCTCTCTCTCTCTCTCTCTCTCTCTCTCTCTCTCTCTATATATATATATATATATATATATATATATATATATATATATATATATATATACACACATTTATATATATATATATATATATATATATATATATATATATATATATATACATATATATATATATATATATATATATATATATATATATATATATATATATATATATTATGCTCTCTCTCTCTCTCTCTCTCTCTCTCTCTCTCTCTCTCTCTCTCTCTCTCTCTCTCTCTCTCTCTCTCTCTCTCTCTCTCTCTCTCTCTCTCACTAAATATATGTGTGTATGTGTGTGTTTTAAAAATAAAAACAAAAACAAAATAAAGATACAAAAGCTGTATGCGAATACAAGGCACCTTCAGCTCTTAAAGAAGGAAGTGAGAAACGAAGGCAACAGAACTTAGAAAAGGAAGGGGAGATAGAAACGGAGAAGAAGAGGAAGGGAGGGAAATAGGGAAACGGAAACAGGGACACAGAATAGGAGATAAGGAAAGGGGGAATGGAGAAAGAGAGAGAGGAAGAGAGGGAGATAAGGAAACAGGGAATGGAGTTAATGAGGGAGAATGGGTGATAGAAACGGGGAAGGAGAAGGGGGGAAAGGAAGAATTGGAGATAAAGAGGGAATGAAGAGAAAGAGAGGGGAGGAACGTACGAGGGGAAAAGGACCTGCCTCCAACCAGCAGGTGATGTGAGAGAGAGAGAGAGAGAGAGAGTTGCGTCAGGAATATAAATCTGAGCCCGAAGCACCATACCCGCCAGCTAAGGGGAATCCACTCCCCCCCACCAGCCCTCCCTCCCTCTCTCCCTCCCTCCTTCCTTCCCTTCCTCCCTCCTTCCTGCCCTCCCTCCCTCCCTCCTTCCCTCCATCCCTCCCTCCTTCCCTTCCCTCCCTCCCTCCTTCCCTCCCTCCTTCCCTCCTTCCTTCCCTTTTCCCTCCCTCCCTCCTTCCCTCCCTCCCTCCTTCCCTCCTTCCTGCCCTCCCTCCCCTCCCTCCATCCCTCCCTTCCTTCCTCCCTCCTTCCCTCCCTCCCCAACCCCCTCCTTCACCTTAGGGGAGGGGAGGGAAGGAGGGGCATGTCAATCCCAAGTAAAGGGAGGCGAGGGAGGAGGAGGAGGAGGAGGGGGAGGGGGAGGGGGGAAACTACTGACGCCTGTCCGTTCTCTGTCGTACATTTGTCACAAGGAGAAGGTGAAGGGGAGAGGGAGAGAGAGAGAGAGAGAAAGAGAGAGAAAAGGGGGCGAGAAAAGAGACGGAACGGAGAGGTGATATACAAAATCATGGTATGTTTGTCAGATTTGTGTTCGGAGGTTTCGTCTGTTTCCCCTGGATGAATGTATTCGAACACGTGTGTACGTGGCTGTATTCAGATAAACAGATGAGTACACATACATATGTACATAGACACGCGCACACAAACACACACACATATAAACATACACACACATACAAACACACGAACACACACACACACACAAAACAAACAAACAAACAATAAAACACACACACACAAACAAACAAACAATCAAACACACACACACACACACACACACACACACACACACAAGCACGTGTATGTGAGTATGTAAATATATAAGCATATGAGTATGTATGTGCGTATTTATATACGTTCCTGTACGTTTTTTTTGTGACAGAAGTTTCTCTTTTAATACAACTTCCACAAAATATTACCTTATTCATATAAAATCATAATCAAGCTTCCAGCACACACGTCCTGCCTTTAATCTGCATACCGTTGTCATCCGCATTTTAAAATTCCAGCATTCAGATTGAAACTAATGTTTTACAATGAAATACTGAAACTTTGTTATAAATCGTTCGGTCTAACCTTCGTTCCCACCTATCACATTTTCTCTCATTTATTCCCTTCCATCTTTTTGTTTAGAAAACAGCAAAGCAATTTTCAAAGTTTTTTTTTTTTTTACGTCGGGCTCTAATTTGGCTCCGGGTTATATGCCATTCATTTCGCTGAATACTTCTGAAATATGCTAGCAAGTTTGTTTAATAAACGCGCGCTGACCGGAGAGGACACAAACTTCAGCGATATCATGGCAGTTTTTTTTTTTTTTTAACCCCCCCCCCGAGTGCGTGTGTGTGTGTGTGTGTGCGTGTGTGTGTGTGTGTGTGTGTGTGTGTGTGTGTGTGTGTGTGTGTGTGTGCGTCTGTGTGTGTATGTGTATGTGTGTGTTTTAGGTCAAGGGAGGTCGTAGCGAGAGGTTGACTTTTTTCGTTGCTTTATTTTGTGTGAGATTGCATGCATGCATTGCACGAACTGAAATATGTTGGTGATAAAGTAAAAGATGAGTCATATATACATATATATATATATATATATATATATATATATATATATATATATATATATATATATATATATATATATAAACATATATATATATAAATATATATATATATATATATATATATATATATATACAAATATATATATATATATATATATATATATATATATATATATATATATATATATA